GGGAGGAAAGCCCGACATCATGATGGGTGTTAACGTTTTCCACCTAAACTGAAACCAATTAGCATGATTATGGTGCTGACAAACCAAGGAACATATTCAGAGCAAACCTGGGATTTAAACCAACGAACTTTGGTGTCTGGCAACCCTATTGGTCTCAACACTTTACATTGTCGCCGAGGTACCCAAATGGCGTCGGTAACAACTGCTTTAAGAAGCATACATGGGCTTTATACCATTATGTTAAATATAACGCACACGAATATGCCAGAAATTAACACAAACAGATTGCGCGCCATTACATTGATCACATGCATCCTGATGCCTGTTTTGATCAGCACATTACTGGCTGCTAATACTGGCACATCACTGGCTTGCGAAACAACTTTTAACACAGGTTGTTTTATTTATGGCATGTATTTCTTCAATTCAGACAGATAACATTCCAGGTTGTGCAAACCTACGTCAAAAATGAAAATAGGTACGAATTTATATGGTACCTGTGATAATGGCTGTCGGTGATTCTGTTGATCTACCATCAGCACAAGTTGTTCCACCGTAGCCACCGGTGCAAATACAGGTATAGGGAGAGCTGTTTGTGTCACATGTCCCAGAGTTCAGACAGTCCGCATCTTCAGTACATGAAGACGTCGAATCAACTGGATGATAATAATGAACAAGTTTGTTAGTTGGTTTGTTTAACACTCAGCAATATTCCAGCTATGGGACGGCGGTCTGTAATAAAATCGAGTCTGGACAAGACAATCCAGTGATTGATATCATGAAAAGGTACCCAGCGGAAACACAAAACAGAACACAATATCACTAATGTATTTGATTTATGGATCACAACATTTTACAAGGCGTATGCACATTAACACATTAACCCCACGTTAGCATGTGGGGATCAAGGGCTTTGATGTGGGAGAATATGAAACAAAATCCTAATGGTAAGAGTAAGAGTTTATACAAACAAACTTGCTAATGGGGCCTTTACACAGGATGGCGACCTTTGTGCCTCCGTGTGCGACAATAACATTTACCAGGTCGTCGTTGGAGGCTCAAAGGAGGCAGAATGGTTGCCTAGGTCGTTCCAAGGTGGTACACAGAAGGTTCAGGCATCGCCATGAACGCCATGGTCGCCGTCAATTTTTGAACATGTTAAAAACAGTCGCACAAAGGTCGCCGAGGAGGCTGGTTGCTCAAAGGTGGCTCAAAGGAGGCAGCAGGGAGGCACAAGCATTGCCGCCTTTGCAGAATGAAGGCGCAGTGGTCGCCCAATGGTCGCCAGGTAACAGATGCGTTCTGCTGAAATATTTTCCCGTCAATCATGGGCGACGCATCTGCCTCCCTTTTGCCTCCTTTGGGCGATCAACAGCGTGCATTGAACGATGACTTTGGCGACCGCCATGCCTCATTCGGCGACCACGGCAACCCTTGAGACACCATGGCAATCCTTCTGCCTCTTTTCTGCCTCCTTTGAGCTATCTGTAGTGCCTCCTCAGCCTGCCTAGAAATATAGGGCGTGTACCTGCATTGTTTCATTGTGGTTGCAGACGCTGAACAACTCGAGCACTTACTGCTGAACAACTGCTGTAGTAGTTACATAGAAACATGATTTTCTGGGTTTAGGCGACCGTTGAGCGTCCTGGCCGGTTTTTGATCACTCAAATGTGGCAGAAAGGTCGCAGCCCTGTGTAAAGGGGCCTTAAGTTTCACTTTGTGTCATCACTGATTGTCTGTGATCCATTCATGAATGTAACCACTATTTTGCTTATACAACCCCTGGAATCTGTTTCGGCAGATCATCGAGACAGAAAAAGGTTCTCTCGCTTTGAGGTGTTAGGAATGTTGTCATATTTTATCAAACGATTACAGGGGTTAAAGTTAAATGTGATCAATATCGAATCGGGGCGCCTCAAGCCTCTGGAAAGGTGATTTTCCTGGACATCGCATACTCAGTAAAAGACGGTCGATAATCAACTGGCGGATCTACTGCCATGCATATTGGAGAACCATTCCCAGTCCAAAAAGTTCTCTTGGTGGTGTACATGTCTGCTAAGCACATCCAAGGCACGAAAGTAAGGGGACTCAACTGGGTTTGAATGCAGATCCTTAGCAGGTTGTCCAGAATGATGAGCTTAAGATGAAATCGATTGTTATTATCATCACAAAATCATCGCTGTGACCTTGACCTTGAGCAAATGGTGACGTCGAAGGAGGCTATGACGTTGTCGGTGTAGGAACAAAAGACTGGCTTATGCGGCGATTCCTTCCAACCCAAAAACACCCTGCCGATGGCGTTTCTCATGACGTCGCCAATAACTCACACGACCATCATTGAATTGGATTGTTCGTGAACCTTAAATGTAACTACGTGGTCCTTCGTTGATGTTGATGTTACTCTTTCACATTGTAACAGTGAGGGTTGTCTTGTGTTTGTTTGTTTGTTTGTTGTTTAACGCCACACTCAGCAACATTCAAGCTAAATGGCGGGCGGTCTGTAAGTAATTGAGTCTGGGCAAGAGAATCCAGTGATTGACGGCATGAGCAACGTTCTACGCAATTGGAATACGATGACAAGCAATAACCAAGTCAGCAAGCCTGACCACCCGATCCCGTTAGTCGCCTCTTATGAGAAGCATAGACGCTTTTTAAGATAAGCTTGGGTTGCTGAAGACCTATTCTATCCCGGATCTTCACGGGTCGATTTTTTCGGAGTGGTGGTTTACGCTTTGTTACTTAATTCTGAGCATGTTTGTTGATAAACGTTGATACGTTACATCTCGTAAATTATTAGGCACAACGCTATTCGACATGGCTGGACAGAAATATATGTCAAGCGAAATTATATGACGGTACAATAGTTAATGCCCGGACAAAGACAATGGAGCCGTGTCAAATAATATTTAGCACTACTTCTGTAGTACTACTACTAGATCTGTAATACAATATGCCAATTTCTTTAGTGACGAAGTGTGTGTCATATTGAAGTGACGTAAAATAACCATGACAGTACTGTAGAATTCAGTATTTTGCTAGAAATAGGACGCAACACTCCAGCCTTTTGATGGTGGCCTGCAATCAGAGCAACGTGGTGGTACACAGTGGCATGCAATCATCCAGGTCATGACAGAGCCTGACCACCCGAACCATTAAGTCGCCTGTTTACATATGTGCGAAAGGATCTGTTCTGAAACGTTATCTGAACTCGTGTTGCTATATTTCAAATATAAAGACACGAAGGCAAGATTCTAGTCATCATCCAAAAGTAAAACTAAGCAACGTTTGTGGCAGAGGTATTAATGGATGAGGTGAATTGGGGTTTAACGTCGCGTCCAAGATTATTGCACTTATGTAGCGACGTGCATGGACACGCAATAATCCAGCTATATAACCAGCTATATAACGTCGGTCTGTAAATAATCGAGTCTGGATCAGATAATCCAGTGATCGACATCATAAGCGTCCATCCTCACAATTGGGATACGATGACATGCATCAACCAAGTCAGCGAGCCTGACCACCCGATCTCGTTAGTCGCCTCTTACGGTACGCATTGGTTGCTGAAGACCTATTCTATTCCGGATCATCACGCATCGATTATTACACGAGTGGCTATCGGATACCATTTATCTTACAACGAGTCATACGATAAATAGAGTATAAGAGGGAAGAGATCAGTAATGTGTGTTTAACACACACTAACATCGCTCAATTTTAGCATCAAATAGGTGCTTATTCTGGTCTTATTTTCATAAACGCAATGGCGCATGAGTGACTTATACAACTCATTTTGAGTGTTTCTTGTTTAACGCCGCACTCATCAATATTCAATATGACGTCGGTCTGTAAATAATCGAGTCTGGACCAGACAATACAATGATTGATATCATGAGCATCGATCCATGCAATTGGGATCGATGACATGCAGCAACCAAGTCAGCGAGCCTGACCACCCGATCCCGCAAGTCGCCCCTTACGATAAGCATAGTCGCCTGTTTCGGCAAGCATGGGTTGCTGAAGACCTCTTCCACCCCGAATCTTCACGGGTGTTTTGTTATTATGGAAAAGGGAATTCCAGGTCTTGAAACGATTTTACGATCATTGCTGTCTCTTACAGTGCACAGAGTTTTTTGAGGGCGTCATTTGTGTATAACTGATTGAAGCGACGTACAATAACCATAACAATAGAGTGATTCTGCACTCATGTTTGTTTCTTGTTTAAATTATACTCAAGAATATTATAGCTTCATTAATTTTACCTGAAAGTCTAGACCAGATACTCCAGTGTTTGACATCATGAGCCTCGATCGACGCCACTGTATACACAATGACATGCAGTCAACCATGTCAGCGAGCCTGGCCATCCGATCTATTTAGTCGCCTCTTACGATTTGGTTGGTTTGTTGTTTAACGCCGCACTCAGCAATATTCAAGCTATATGACGGCGGTCTGTAAATAATCGAGTCTGGACCAGACAATCCAGTGATTGACATCATGCGCATCGATCCACGCAATTGGGTCCGATGACATGCATCAACCAAGTCAGCGAGCCTGACCACCCGATCCCGTTTTTCACCTTTTACGACAAGCATCCTCGCCTTTTATGGCAAGCATGGGTTGCTGAAGACCTATTCTTCCCCGGATCTTCACGGGTCACGACAGGCATAGCTTGCAGTGGACCTATAATCTCTCCAAAATTGGCATAGCTTGCAGTGGACCTATAATCTCTCCAAAATTGGCATAGCTTGCAGTGGACCTATAATCTCTCGAAAATGTCCATGAAAGGAACGATTGATTAAGTGTGCGTGTATTAATGTTTTATGCCAGTCAGGAGTATTAAATCTTAATCACAGAGATGAAGATATCGGGTAGAATAGGTTTTCAGCAACCCATACTTCCGTAAAAGGCGACTGACTATGCTTGTCGTAAAAGGCGACTGACGGGATCGGGTGGTCAGGCTCGCTGACAAGGTTGATACATGTCATCGATCCCAATTGACCTCTCCGTCGAATTTTATTGACAGCTGACTTGACCAATCAGCGAGTCGCTCTGACAGTATGCGCACGCATACTTTGACTGCAGTCACTTCCTTAGACAAACAAGCTTGTCTAAGTTTGGCTGGCGCGCTTTACGCAATCGTTTCTATCGGCCAACTTATCCAGCAAAAATGGTAAAGAGGTGCAGTCACGGTCTGTGCAATAGTGATGACAGGTACCCTGAACGACTAGGAGGCGGTGTCAAGTTCATACCGTTTCCAAAACCGAAGACTGACTACGAGAAGTGCCTACGGTGGATAAAACTTTGTGGACGACCGCATAATCAGCTCAATCCGTCAAACATCAACTGCAATAGATATGTTTGCACAAAGGTACATTTCCCGTACATTTAATCAATTTTATAGATGGATACGTCATTAAGTTTTGTTTGGCAGCGATCAGTTTTCCTATTACCATTGGCCAAGTAGTGAATATAAATTACCTGGGTTGGTAATCGTCGAACATATAGATCTATGTATATATAAAGATTTCACAAACTTATTGAAAACTTTTGAATTCATTGTGTTTATATACATTATACATCGGTTTATCCACATAATAGAGGTTATTGTGTTAAATTTGATTTTCAGCACTTCGTCAACAATTTTCCATGTGAGCAACATCCAGACCCATTACCTGCCAATCACTTTGACAAGGCTGGACTAAGTAGGAAGCCCCCTACAAAAAGAAAGCCCACCCATGATGGAACTCAGAGGTTTGTGTACACTGTAAGAAGCCATTGATTGGTACATTACAAGTTGATTATCCATTTACATGATCAAATACTTTGTAAAATTTCTACAGTTGATTCAGTTGTTCCATCTTGTTCACATAAGTTCATAAATAAGATTTTCTCATCTTGTAATGAATACTGCCCAGGGGAAATGTATGTTGTTAATTTGGATGAAATAAAAATAAATGAGTTCTGCATGTAACAAACAATAAATAGGGTAGGTAGGTATGGCTTTTGTTCTTTAAATTGTTTGTTCATTTAATAAAAGTTTGATAACGATATTGGCTAATGTGAAAATTCAGTGTTAGCAAAAAAGTTGGAGAGATTGGAAGGTAATACAAGTTGAGATAGCACACGGGGAAATTTATTAGATTTGTTGAGTGTCTTTAGTTCTCGTTAACACCCAGTATGATGTGAAATTGTTTGATAAGGTAATGTATGAATCCAGTCAGCACCTATATGGGTCACACTTTATCCTCTTTTGCTATTAAACATTGTTATATGACACTCATGCACATTATACTGTATGAACTCAAATAACAGACACACAAATATTTGATATTGGTTTAATTTTATCTTCTCAAACAACAATCAATAGTAACTTTGTAAAAGTTTATAGTTTCAAATATTGTTGCAGATTGGAGCCAACAGAAAAGATAGCTAAATCTGACAACCCATCTTTACCTTCTGCCACTGCTGTGCATACAAGTTCAACCGTGACAACTGATTGTCAGACTGACTCATGCTGTAAGTGTACACACATTATGAGAACTTGGCAAACACAGTACTGGTTTAACATGCTGAAAGTAAAAAGCACTCAATTCATCCAACATTTGTTGCATAAACACAGGAAGAGGAAAAATTCTTTGTATGAAAAGGTCTTTTTTTGTGAAAACAACAAAGTCACAAAAGGCAGCACCTGAAATCATGAGTTGTCCTTGAACTTGATAAAAATATTCATGATAATGGGGAGCTTTCTTGATTGAAATTATCCCATCTGTATTTTGCAAGCAGAACTTTGGCAATAAACAGCAGGCATCACTAATGGACATGTCTCGGGCTGAGTATGGACATTTTACTTCTATGATGCCTGTAATACCATCTTCACACACCTTCCCATCTGGTGTAGCTCCTAGAAATGGAAACTTTCTGTTCACTACAAGACCACAATCATGAACATGATTACCTGACTGCTTAATGTATTTTTCAATAGCTTGTCTTTCATTACTTTTGCCATAGCTGGTTGCAACAGATGTGAAAGCCTTTTCATTTATGATGTTGTTGATGAACTTTTCTGTGATGGTTTTTCTTTTGAGTATGATCCCAAATGTGGATGCTGTCAGCCTGTGTTTCCTCGCTTGAAACCACATCTGACTGTTGGTCTGGTCCCTTGTTTGTTGCTCTAACTGCTCACATTGCTCCTGTGTCATATCCTCGATGTGGTACTCTGCTCCAAGGGTCACTGTGGCGGCCTGGGGAAAAGCTAGATTGCCACATCTAGTGCCAACAGATTTTATTGGCTCAGTCTCAAAAAACTTTGCCTGAAATAAAAAGCAAACTGACATGAGATCAAATTAACAATGTTTATTTGTCATTACATTATAACATCAATTTGTATTTGGCAGAATTGATTTCCTTTTACTTTTAAATGTTTCAGGGATCGACCCAATGGATATGATAGTACTTATTGCAGAGAATGAGAGCCTGAAGAGAGATCTGTCAAAATGCAGTTTGGAGCTTATAGATGTCAAGAGAAAGCTGAAAGATACTGAAGAGGAATGTGAACATTTAAAAAAGCAAAAAACATTTACTTTTTCAATTGATGTTATGTTGGAAGATGCTAAGCTTATTCGGTACTACACAGGCTTTAACAAAGAAACCTTCATTGCCATATTTAGGTATTTAGTTCCAGATCCTCCATCATGTCCTCTTAGGTATCTTGGGAAAGGAAAATTGTCCAAAATTAGGAAACTTTCCCTTGAAAATCAGTTGTTTTTGACGCTTTGCAAACTGAGGAATAATTTTCACTTGCAGGATTTGGCTTTTAGATTTGCAATTACTCAGCAAGTTGCAGGTGTTATCTTCAATTCCTGGATAAATTACATGTTTCTCAGGTTTGGGGAGTTAAGCATCTGGCCCCACAGAGATGTCTTGTATGAAAGGATGCCAGAGGACTATAGGAAAGATTTTCCAAGTACATTTCCTATTGTTGACTGCACAGAAATTAGAATTGAAAAACCATCTTCACTAAATACCCAAACTCAAACGTACAGCAATTACAAGTCCACTAACACATTGAAGGCATTAGTGGCTGTAGATCCGAGAGGCTCAGTTATTTTTTATTTCTATGCTGTTCTCAGGGGCAATGTCAGACAAAGAAATATTTAAGCAGTCAGGTTTTCAGTCAACACTGATTGATCTTCTTGAGATTGGTTATCTGGAGGAGGGAGATGGAATTATGGCAGATAAGGGGTTTGATATTGAAGCAGAAGTAGAGAAAACAGGGCTTCGACTGAATATACCACCATTTGCTAAGTCTGGTGTACAGATGAGCCAAAAAGATGTCATCTTCACTCAGAAGATTGCTGGGCACAGAGTACATGTCGAAAGAGCTATACGCAGAATCAAAAGTTTCAAGATTCTCAGTGGCCGCATTCAGCTATCAATGATGTCTGCAATTGATCAAATTTGGTATGTTTGCTCTTTTCTGACAAATTTCATGCCTCCTTGTATCAGAAAGAAGTAAATTGAGACACAGTACATGTACCGTATATCGCTGTGTATAAGGCGACCCCACGTATAAGACGACCCCCCTGTACACGCCTTAAAAATCAACCCAAAATCCTATACTCTGTGTATAAGGCGACCGGGAATGAAACACATCACAAGTCTGACTGATATAGAAGATTTAACGTGCGCTTTCCGACTGTAGCGTATTTCGCACACGGACATCACAAGTTAGTTTGTTAGTTAGTTACTTTTGAGATTTACCGTGCGCTTTCCGACTGATGCGTATTTCGCACACATCACGAGTGCGCACACAAACCTTATATATGCAATAAAAATATGTTTATCTTGCGTTGGTTTTTTTCTACAATGGTAGTTGTTTTTGCAACACTGCAAAATTCTTTTTAGAACTATCGTGTTATCAGGCTAAATTTGTGTTTGTACTGCATACCAAGGTTCTGCTGTCACATGTTTGTTAGCATTGTTTGAGCTTGGGCCAAAGGTCAGATTCACAGGTAGCAATGTAAAATTACATAATTTACATAATAATAATAATAAAATTCAAAATTTAATCATGATAATACTTTTGTCAAAACTGAACCACTTGAACTATAATTTTATGTGACCTGTCACCTATTCAATTACATGAAGTGATTTTAATCCAAACTTCCTTTCGCCCAAACACATGAAGTAATTTTAATTCCAGCTTTTCTTTTCTAGATAGGACATTGTCCCTGATTTCAACTGAGCTTATAAACATGTAGCTTTAGCCCTTTTTACCATGATTTACTGTTACTATAGTGTTAAAACCTGACAGTGTACAATGGGACCTTGATAATGGTCACACCATGTGAAAAACATCCTCCAGTAATAATGATATAAAGTAAAATTACTGTACAAAATTCTGAATTGCTGTATTAGGAGTTTCACTATAATAGCATCCTCAATATCTCCGGTGGCTACCCCTTAATAACAAACATGTTAAGGTTGGATATATCCAGTCATTTCCCATTGAGTTACAACATGCTTGGCAGGTAAAGGCTGTGGTCAAATTCTAACAAACACTAAAACCATTGCTAAACTTACATGCGTTGACAAGCCACTGCCAACAGGGACTGGTCCAACATGAGTGTGCACAGTTTTTGAGGGGTTGCAGACAAGGTATCCTATGGGAAGGTCTTTTAGGCCTTGAAGATGTTGAATATCTGTCTCCTCGACCCGTACATTTCTGTAACATGTAATTGTCTATCTCACTTTCTTAATCCAGAGAACTTATTGTGCAAACATGAAAGCTCACTTCCTTGTTGAAGTTTATGCCGTTGATGAATTCAAATGTGTCTTGTTGAACATGTTATACATTTAAGAGTGATAAGCATGATAATTATCATATTATGGCATCTATTTCCATTGAACATGATGATTATCATTTAGTTTATATCAATGTATATTTAGTTTATATAATCAAAGTTTATTTAGTTTATGTAAATGTTTATGATACATGTCATACCAGTGAATTTTATGTATACATTTGTTTGCTTTGAGCGAAATAAGGAAAGCATAATTCATGAAATAAATCAGTATAAATCAAGTACCTGCATTCTGTCAATGTATTAGTAACTGGTTTCTTTTTCCTGTCTGGTTTGGGGTTGACAAAAACTAAATGTGGTACATCGCCTGCTTCAACTTTGGTACACCGAGGTTTGCTCCACTGTTCTGGAAGTGATGTACAGGACAGCTTTGATGGAACCTCAGTGAAACCCATCAACTGCCATTGCTGCAGTGCTATGATGAATCCAATGACATGGGAACATGATCCACTAGCTCTGAAAAAATTAGAGAAATTCAAAATTGATGCTAAATAAGATTGCAAGTTTTTATAATCCATACAAATAAAACACTAAAAAGTTAGTTAAATATTTGACAAATATATCAGATGTTAATATTGATCCTTTTTTTTAACAGGTGATAAGGTGTTTTTGATATGGAAAACTAAGAGTCCAGTACTGTAAATTAACACACAATAACTTTTCTTTCGTTAGGAGATATGAGTGAAATGTCTTTACACAAATTCATTATCATGATCATTACCTCCAGATGTAACTATTATCCTGTTAGCCTCAGCATATTGAACGAATGTATCACGAAATTAGGGAACTTGATACGTTTGTATCAACAATAAATATTACGGGATAATGCATCTTGTCAACAGTAACGAGGCAAACCTGGTTGTAAACGGTCAACTTACCCTGCTTGACATGAACAATAGGCATAGGATATTTCTTCAGGCTTGATGTCAACATGAACAGCATGGGGCGGCTCGTTTTTCTTCATACTGCGATAGCACTTGGCACTACTGACGATGGTGTCATTCTCTCCGTAAGTCATGCTTACTGAATGGAAGTACCCCTCACTAAAAAACTTAAACCCTTGCTGTTTACTTTTCATTGAAAATGACACCTGTTTCATAAAAGAAGTCGACAAATCAGCCTGTAAATCCGCCAACGAAGCTCTCCGAGTTTGACAAGAGGCAGCCATGTTGTTTATAAGTTTGTCTAAGGAAGTGGTGGAAAGGTCGTGACCTCTTTGAAGGCGTGGCTTAAGGTTCCATACGGAGAGGTCAATTGCGTGGAGACCTGTGAAGATCCGGGTAGAATAGGTCTTCATGATCAGCAACCCATGCTTGTCGTGAAAGGCGACTAACGATTGAGTGGTCAGGTTCGCTGACGTTGTTGATGCATGTCATTGATCCCAATTGCGTGGATCATTAAGAAATAAATGACGAGTGGGAGTAGTAGTTGCTCACCTTACGAAAAAGACTCTGCAGAGAGAATAAACATTGTTTAAATGGAATAAATTGTTTATTCTCTCTGCAGTGTTTTAATGTACGATAAACAACAAGTCGTATTTTTCTTATGTGGGATATCAATATTATGAACAGCCTCTTCAATGATGTTAATAAAATGTAAGTTTTAACAATATTCACTATATTTAAATGACTGCCTGAATAGAATCCGAACTAGGCAATGTCAGAAAAGTCCATTTTATGAATGACGTTGTTATATTTGGTTTTCAGCAACGTAGAATAGGTCTTCAGCACCCCATGCTTGCCGTAAAAGGCAACTATGCTTGTAGTAAGAGGCGACTGACGGGATCGGGTGGTCAGGCTCGCTGACTTGGTTGATACATGTCACCGATCCCAATTGCCTTGATCGATGCCCGTGATGTTAAATCACTGGATTGTCTTGTTCAGACTCGAATATTTACAGATCAATCCCAATTGCGTGGATAGATGTTCATGATATCATTCTCTGGATTATCTGGTCCAGACTCGATTATTTACACACCGCAGAGTGCGGCGTTAAAAAACAAACCAACCAACCAACTTTCACGCATATTCTCATAATTCTCACGTCGATTATCTGTCCCTTTTCTCTCCCACTTTTGGACGCGATCGTTCGGCTATTTGGTTTATCTACGTCGGTCAGCTACATCTATTGAGAACAACTCACTCGACTCTTCCCTCTCAAAAATAACATCGTCTAATTTACGACGTCATCAAGTTTCGAGCGCTTGTTCGAATCTCCAGAATTGACGTCATGATAGAACAATGTTATATTGTGAAATAAGCCTACGCTTCATTGTACTTTGCGATTTCTTGCGAAGCTATCTTATATTGAAGTGTTAACGTGTTAGAAGTGGCTGTGAAATGTGTACGCTAAATAACTGTCTTGTTGAATACTGCTAAACATGTGCATATACATGTCAACCCATACAAATTGTAAGTCTATAGAAATTTCGGAAGAAGATGGAAAGAAATTTTCCTTGCAAACCTGGCAAAATCTGAATACTTTCACTGGAATTATACACTTAACGTTAATTGGAGCTATTGTGTGGTCTGGGACCCGTTGAGATCCGGGATAGAATAGCTCTTCAGCAACCCATGGTTGCCGTAAAAGGCGATTATGCTTGTCGTAAGAGGCGACTAACGGGATCGGGTGGTCAGGCTCGCTGACTTGGTTGATGCATGTTAGTTATCGATCCTAATTGCGTGGATCTATGTTCATGATGTCAATGACAGGATTGTCTGGTCCAGACTCGATGTTTTACAGACCGCCGTCATGTTGCTGGAATATTGCTGAGTGCGGCTTTAAACAAACAAATATTATAGTCTGTATCGTATTTATTCATGAGGCAAATCGATGTGCGATCAGAATTTACTGTTAAGTGTATTGTAGCATAACCTGTAGGTATTTGTTTGTTTGTCAGCAATATTCCATCTATACGACGGTGGTATGTAAATAACCGAGTCTGGACCAGACGATCCAGGGATTAGTAATCTAAGCATCGATCCACGCAATTGATGCAATACGATGACATGCTTCAAACAAAGTCAGCGAGCCTGACCACCGAATCCCGTTAGTCGCCTCTTACGCCAAGCATAGTCGCCTTTTACGGCAAGGATGGGTTGCCGAAGACCTATTCTACCCCGGACCTGTAGGTATTTATAATTGCTTCATTGAAGTAAGAATGTATGTCATGCCCCTAAACACACAGCGGGTGATAGCTTGCTAACTGACGTAGTCGCAAAGATTAAGCTTCGTTTCGAGGAGAGATTAGGTAATTCCTGTATGAAAATCAAAACAGTTTCGACATGTGATGACACGCGCAGTGGGTGTGCAGCTTACACAGGTTAAGGTCACCCATGAATAATAGGATCAGAAGAACAATAGGGATCCAATTGTAGGAATTCAGCAACTTCAAACTTTTAGAGCCGGACACTGCAGTCGACTCGTATTACCAAACAGTTGAAACAACGGGTGATGATGCATAAGAAAACACCTTCAACTGAACGTAGTGCAAAATGGAGTCATAACACGTTCGATGACAAACAAAAAGGGTCTTTAACGATTTGATTCAAGTTTGTTTGGACTGCCAATTTGCCTGAGCCATTACTCACTTAGCCCACTACATGTTAATTGTTTAAATATATCTAAACGAGTGTCCAAAAGAAACGATACCACCTGTTTGCAACGACATAAAAGAAAAACTAAACAATGCAGAAGTTTAGGATTGGTGTTATGCTTTTGAGAAATCCTTTCACAACATCTGTACAAAAATTTCATTTCAATAAAATCTGAACGACCAATATGACAAGCCTTTAAAGATGGGTGGGGTCGAAAAATGAACATTTCGTTAGAGCACTGATCACAGAAACAACGGGAAATGTCACACCACACGTCTCAAAGTCAAGTCAGTAGCGGGTATGTCCACCGTGAGCATCAATACATGCCAGAACACGCCTACGGACTGATGACGTCAAACGTCTGATGACGTTGGGAGTGATGCGTTGCCATTCCTCGAGGAGACATCGTTCCAAGTCCTGGACGTTGACTGGAGGCACACGGCGACGTCGGATTTGCCGATCGAGGTGGTCCCATAAGTGCTCGAAGGGATTCATGTCCGGTGAACATGCGGGCCATGGCAAAACCTGTACGTTGGTGTTGGCAAGGAAGTTCTGTGTCAATCTTGCTGTGTGTGGCCTTGCATTGTCATGTTGGAAAAGGAGTCCACGAGGCTGTTGCTGAATAAAGGGCACCACAACAGGCCGTAGGATGTCATCAAGATAACGCTGTGCATTCAGGTTTCCACGAATTACGACAAGCATCGTTTTGACGTCACCACATATGCCACCCCAAACCATTAACCCTCCACCTCCAAACGGCCGGACCTGTTGGATACAGTTAGGCGCCAAACGTTCACCAAATCGTCAGTATACAAGCTGCCGTCCATCGTTTCTGAAGATAAGGAATCTGCTCTCATCAGAGAACATAACACGTGCCCAGTCCCACCGTTGCCAACGTCGAACTCGCCTTGCCCAGATCAGTCTGTTGTTCCGGTGTCGAGGCGTCAGGAGCGGTCCGCGGTAGGGATGACGTGGCCGGATACTATACTGCCGTAGTCTCCTGTAGACGGTCTGTCCACTGATCCTGTGTCCCAGTGCTGTAGCCGCCGTGGACGTCGCTGTTACGGTGCGGTTCCTCAGGTGTAATACCCTGATGTAACGATCTTCACGGAGCGTGGCTACTCGTGGTCTTCCACTCCTGGGCCTGTCTGACGTCTGACCTGTCTGACGTAACCGCTGCATCAACCTGGTGATAGTGATGCGTGCGCATCCCAACCTTCTGGCGACCTCGACGTGTGACGCTCCTTGTTGGACCATTCCAACGGCTCTCTCTCTCTCGATGGCTGTCAAACGTGGCATATCTTGTGTTCTTTTTGTTGCTGTGATATCAACGTGTCTGATCAGCCGTTTTATAACGTGCAGAACATGCTAGAGAGGGAAATGTCACTTTCACGAAGTTTACGTTTTTTCCCGGAAGTGATCACGTGTTCCCGGTATTTTTTATCGACTATGCTGTGTTTGGGATGTGCAATACGAATTGGCATGTTTTACATACTTGACAATTCACTTAGTAAAAAACAATTTTGAAAATAAGTTGGTATCGTGTCTTTTGGACACTAGTTTATTTAAACTTCCATGTGTTCCATTCCATTATATCTATTTAAACTTCCATGTGTTCCATTCCTGCATAAGGAAATCTCTAGTTCTTTCCTAAAATGGATAAATAAAAGCAACACAGTGTCCGACATCAACCATACATTACCAAAGCCATAACTAAACAATATATATCTAACAAATGAAACCCAATTTTAATAACCTAATTCATCATATTTACATAGCATGAAATAGCAATGCTTTTGATAGCTACCCAAAGGCAGTCTTAAGTTCATACATTCTCGTTCTTCCAGGTTCACCTAATACAGCAGTATTTAAACATTTTTATCCTATTTTCAAAGTATAATTACAATATTTAGTGTGTATAATTGCAATGCTTTTTCTTACTTTTGTACACCATATCTCCGCACCATATTTGTGTGTACAAAACTATATCCATTTGCAATTTACACCTTCGTGTTTACTTACTATTTATTTGCATTTGGACCCGTAAAGAACCGGGATAGAATAGGTCTTCAGCAACCCATTCTTGCCGGAAGAGGCGACTAACGGGATCGGGTGGTCAAGCTCGCTGATTTGGTTGATGCATGTCGCAGACGCTCGGAGAGTATCCCCTACACCACTTAGGCGGTCTAGTAAATAGGTATGTGTGATAGTTGGTTACCATACCATGAACAATCTGACAGCATTTACTAAATACAGCCTGAGTGTGTAAAGGAAGCATTTAGTTAAGGTTTCATGTGGCAAATACACTGCGTTCGATGCTTGGGTAAAATCGACGAAGCCCAACTGATTACAACCAAGTATGTTGTCAGGGATAATACATACTTTAGCTATAACCTGACAATGATCCTATCTGTGTAGGCAGACTGAGGACGGTTGTAATTGAAACCGAAAAAATGTGTTCGACAGGTCAGATTTCAGTCTGCTATTAATGCAAAGGGTCCTTCACCCACTGCGAGGAATATTTTAGGACTGGTGTATTTAGACGTATGGATATTGTTTACATGTCTAACTGTGAACATAAATCATGCAGCAAAGACTACAATGAGAAACAGTATACCCTATTGGGTTCGAACATGTGTGTTGATAAGTCAATAA